CAAATTAAAAGTATCTGGAAGATTCCCTCTGCTGCCCTCAGTAACTCCATGGCATGCAGCTGTGCCTGCCTCACCCTACCAGGGCCCAGTGCTCCCCAACTGCCTCCCCATCTCCACTCGGCCCAAACTCTCCTTGCCTCAGTCAGGGGTTTGAGAATAAGGAGGTCCAAGGACACAACCCGCAGGGGAAGGGTGGTGTTGGCATGGTTTTTTGAAAGGATGTCACTAATCCAAACCTACTTTCTGCAAAGGTTCTGAGTCGTATGTTCAGTTTTTGCTGGGGATGGGACTTCCATCTATTTTGCAATAACAGATTATTTTCCACAGCCTCACTTTCTTTTCTTCCTTTTTTCTTGAGGTGGTAGGTGGGGTGACAAAAAAAGGGAATAGTAAATAATTAAAGATGGATCTGGGTCTTTTAAAGTCAGGGAACAGTATGCATTGAAATAGGACAAATGCTACTGGGTAAGTTCTAACATATTCTTTAAATATGTTTTTATTGGTTTTTAGAGAGAGAGGAAAGGGGAGAGAGAGAGAGAGAGAGAGAGAGAGAAACGATGAGGGAGAAACACTGATTGGCTGCCTCCTGCCCACCCCCTACTGGGGATTGGGCCTGCAACCCAGGCATGTGCCCTGACTGAGATTCAAACCAGCAACCTCTTGGTGCATAGGTCAACCCTCAACCTCTGAGCCACATGGCCCAGGCTCTAACATATTTTTTAAATCGATCTCATCGTTACTAAACGTTTGCTATTATATGTCAATTCATATTCCTTGCTCTATTAATCACATTTTATAGATAATATAACAACACTTGGATCCCCAAATGCTAAAACCTTACTGACATCTCTGATAATTCTTTTCATTTACACCCTCTACTGAATGTCAACTATATATCAACTTTTCTGTTGGAAGCTATGCACTGAGCAGTCAATCCGACAGAGGACAGGTGATCCCTGTCCCCAACAAAAGTACCATCTGGTGGGGGGACAGTATTCAACAAATAATACAAATAATTACCTAATTGCAACTTAGAGTCAGTGGCAGGAAGGAAATTTATAGTGTGCTCTGAGAACAAACACATCAGGAAATCCACCGAAAGTTGCAATTTTACCCCTGAACAGGTACTGCTTTCTTAAAACCAGGAGCACATCAAAATGCCTCCTCCAATCTCTTGACAGCGTCGCCTTTAGCGGAACTGAGAGGTGGCAGCATTTTCCTCCACTTACAGGAAATAGAAACTCAGGAATGCAAACTATCCTGGAAGATGATTTCATCCTTCTGGGAAATGACACTGCTCTCTCCCTTTTCCTTTCAATGTTGGGAGGAGGGAACATTCACAAGGATTGATGCACCCATGAGCTTCATGTGAAATAGTAGACATTTGGAAAGAACCTAAACGTACGTCACTAGGGGAGCATTAGATGAGTTATGATAAGAATATACTAGACTTGCCCAGCCGGGCGTGGCTCAGCAGTTGAGCATCGACCTAGGATCCAGGCGATCAGGGTTTGATTCCTGGTCAGGGCACATGCCCGGGTTGTGGGCTGCAGCCGATCAATGGTTCTCTCATCATTGATGTTTCTATCTCTCTCTCTCCCTCTCCCTTCCTCTGAAATCAATAAAGATATAGTTAAAAAAAAAAAAAAAAGAATATACTAGACTATGTAATATACTGCCTGCCTATTAAAAAACAGTGAGGTGACTCTATGTACTGACACAGAATGCTGTCCAAAACAGTAAGTGAGAAAAAGCAAACTACTATGGTATGATTCAAATTTGTTTTAAAAAATGTGTACATGTTATATTAATGCGGACAAAGGGGACATTAAGGCTGCACGATAGTCCCCACGGTGCTAACCTCTAGCACATGAAGAAGGTGGTTTGTAATTCCTTTAGCATGTGAACATATTTAGTACAATATATTTTGTACACTATATTTAGGTACAATTTTGTTATTAAAAAAAATATAACAAAAAACATTAACAGAGAAAATCACATGTGCTTCAGCAGCCTCTCTGGACGGCAGGCATCCTTCCGGAAAGGTCCAGGAGGCTCTCTGGTTCTTTGGTTTTAAGTATGAATTGAGGATGTGCTGTTACGGGGGCTATACCCTGAGACCCTAAATATTAGCCCATTTCTATAGACATCCTGAAAAGAATCAACTAGCTTTGCCATCTAGTACATGCTGAAAAGAAGCCTAAACATACTCCCAAAGATGTGCCTAAATTCAGCCACAACAGAGCAGATAACTTAAGCCACCCAGATGCTGACTCAGAGGGAAAAAAACACAAGGGAAACTAAGTAATTACGTAGTATCAGAAGCAGCTGCAGTTATATTTGTCCTTTGGCTCTCTAGGGCTGGCCCAAAGGGACCAAATCCATCTGTCCAGAACTGTGGCTACCCCCTGGAGGGCAGCAGGGAGAGACAGCTCCCTGGGTAGACCAGTAGAACAGACTCCCTTTCCCAGGGGTGCACTGCCTGCCTCTACTGCTCATCTGGTCCAGCCGGCCAGGCTCAGGGCAAGAAGCATCCTGGCAGGAGACAGAGGCTCTCCTTTCCTATGGTCTCCTACCACACCCGGTTAGGGCCCTAGAGAATCAAAGCAGCCCCTGCACAACCCTAGGCCCAGGGTACTACAAACCTTCCCAAAAGTCCCCAAGAACATGAACCCTGTTCAGAGTCTGGTTTACTGAAAGGTAAGGGAATTCGTTTCTCTAATCGTTTGGATAAACACTGCTAGAATTCAGAGCTTGAAGGCCACGTAGTCCAATTATGCTTGTATTCTACACAGAACTGTCACCCAGCTATTTCCTAAATCTCTCTCTCCCCCTCCCAGGGAGAAGCCTGCTGTACCTCCAGAGGCACCTGGGGACAGCTGTGTTAGAAATGAGGGTTCTTCAGTGTCACAGAACTGTCTCCCTTATAGTCTCCACTCCAGGCCTGTGAGAGCTGATGTGGGAGGTGAACTCAACCTGCAGCCACCAGGTGGGCACCCAGCACAGCCTAAAGTCAGTTTGCTGCTCTGCCCATCAGTCTCTAAGGCCTGGGCAGGTTCTGTCCCTCTTTTCTGAAAGGAAACCAGTGGGCTGAACAAGTGAGAAAATGGGTCAAAGGCTGAGAAGAAACCTTTAATATGACACTCAGTGTGTTTTATCATACGAAGACATTCTCTCTCTAACCCTCAACAGCCCCCTCCCCATCAATGGCCAGCTTCCAGGGACCAGCTTCCAGTAGAAGGTAAATGAAGTATCTTATAGGTGAGGTAGCCACAGGGACAGGTTATAATGCAATGTGCAATGTACGACAATGTAAGACTATTCCAGGCACCAGAGAGGTGGGGAGCTCTTCTCAAGAGAGAACAATGAAGCCAGGTTTAAAACCTACAGGCCTATTTCACACTCTGGGCCAGTGCTCATTCACCATAGTGGTAGGCAAGAGTGCCTGCTCCATTTAAACTACCCTTCTCTCTTGTTGTGGTTCTCATTTATTGCTTGCTTTTGTACAAAAACTAAATTTGCACAAAACAAAATGCTGCATGACATGACCCCACTTTTCCAACTCCAGGCACTAATTTATGTACCTCTCTTCTCCTCTCCTCTCTAGAGCCTTTCTTTTGGCTTTATCTAATGTGCACTGAAGCTGATAGGTCTTCCCTGGTCCTGATGGCTTCATCCCATATGCCTGTCGTCCGCTTGGAGGTCCTAAAGCATTTGAGGAGACACAGGAGTCTGTTCAATAGCTCTTTAGCCAAGTCCCGGCCAACCCTCACCTGCCTGGTGCTCAGAGCTCTCCACTGTTTTGTCACTGAATCACACACAACTGGATGATATTACCTGTCAGCATGTCTGTTCTAGTACCCAGCTGGTGGTAAACTCATGCAAGGCGGGGAGAGGACCATGTCTCAAAGTCCTTTCATATCCCCTCAACATCCAGCATTGCCACACACACAGCATAAGGTCATGCCCTTGCTGCATAAACCCTCTCCTAATGCCAACTAAATGCCTCTCAGACAACCCATCAATTTGGATGAGTCTACAGCATTACTATGCAGAGATCTCAGATGTCCGTTTAATATATGACGCCAGAGGTGAAGTTTGACCATGGATGGTAACCAACTCCTCCCTCCTGGCATCAGGTGCCCAAGACTGTTGCTCCTCTATGACAGGGACCATGTCTCATTTACACCTAGGTCCTCGGTGCCCAGCACTGGGTCCAGCCCCACGGCTAGTATACTCAAGGAACATTTGCTGAAGGTAGAGACTATCTCCAGGACCCATGCTACTCAGTGGTTGTCCTTCCTACAGGAAGCCTCAACACCTGGCCATCTGGAAGGTGGAAGGAAACCCTATGGCTATGCCCACCCAGATACAAGGAAAACTGAACACTTATTTTTCTACAATGAATTTGGCAACTTCCTGAGAAGCTGAACAATTTGGTGCCATAGAACACAAAATCCAATGCGTCATAACCCTTTTCTAACCAACTGTTCCCTCAATTCACTATTTCCATCAACAACACCATTCTCCACTCACCCAGGCCTGCAGCCTTTCCAAAACTCTGCTCTTCGTGGCCTATTAAAAAGAGGTACCCGAGCACTGCTTGTTGCTCCTTGATCTCTAGAAATCACCCCTTCCCACACTTTCCCTTCCACCCTTGGCCCCCACACATGCACAAGACCTCAACTGATGCCCCATCTTACAGCATCCAGCCTCCCTAACTCTACTCTCCTCCTTCACAGATCCTACATGCCACCATCGGGCTATTATTTAGTAAGTGCTGTTTCCAATGGGTCCATCCTTTGCTCAAAAAAGAACTTTGTACTTTTTAAACCATCAAGTCTGTACTCCTCTCTTCTGCGTGACCCAGGCCCACATTCACTCTCCTATCCCAGGAACCCTGACTAATCCTCCTGCCTCAGCTAGGATTATCATGTCTCTCCCCTTCTGGGGAAAAGGTAACATTTTTTGCCATCTCAAAATCTTGGCCAAGTTCTCACCTCTGCTTATGCAAATCTCACCCACGCTCCAAGGCTCCAACTTCTCACACAGGTACAGTCGCACCAGCCTCTCCCCTGGGACAACTGTGTCTAGCTGTCTGTCACACAGGGCCTTCCTGTTGACTCACTTTCTCCTGTGCTGAAAGTCAGATGGGCTGAGGAAGACCATAGACTTTTTAGCTACGTGATCCTGCCACCAGACTTTCAAATCTCACAGCACTGTTATGATCGAGTGAAAATTGACATGAAGGGGACTCATTCATCTCACATTCATAATAAGAATGTCCAGGTGGAGAATATTGGTATCTCCCTATTACCTGCCAAGTACAGGTATTTCCTATCATTCACAATCCAGCAGCACTAAAGTTTCAGTAAATATCAATCCAAATAAGATAACAAAGGGAGACTATACTTTTCATGGAGCACATGTCTACATATTCAGCATTTAGCCACTCAGGAACTTCTCTGGTACAAAGTTTTAGGCGGCAGCACCAATGTGTGCAGGGGAAAAGAGGGGAGACAGTTGTTCTGGGCAAATCTGGTGGCAAGGATGCCGGTCATAAGAGTGGAACATGCACACAAAGCCACAGCTTGGGATCAGTGGGGCGCAGGAGACACGCTGAGGAGGGGGGATGCGAGCAGAGTCCACTGGTGTACGAATGAAGCACGGGGACAAAGAATGCTTCAGACCAGAAAACCGGGGCTACCTTTCTTCCCAATGTTCACGCCCATCTCAGCCATAAGCACTGCCTGGGGCACGAGGTAAAACCACTCCTCCGGCCTGGCAGTCTCAGGATGCCCGCTCCGC